TAATTTTTTATTAATTTTTAATTAAATTTGATAAATTTTAATATTGAAAAAAGCCAAAATTTTAACAAATTTTAGCTCTCATCTAACTTTTGATATAGTAATTAAAAAAATGAAATTTTTTTGCTGATCTAGAATTGGGTTATACTACTTATAGTAAAAATTTCAAAGCTATAGCTTTTTAATTTAAAAAGATAAAAAGGTGGGGATACTTATGATTGCGACTGTACATGATCATGATAAATTTGGTTACAATATATTTTAGCTTATTGACTTCGATAAATTTAGTAATTAATTTGTGTAAAGTTTTGAATACATTATTCGTAAAGTTTTAATAATGAATTAGATGCATAAAGAATGTGTTTAGTATGACACAATGACATATTTAGGATTAACTAGTAGCACATATTTATAGATTAAAATTTATTTTGGTGAATCTTATAATCTTGAATTAGAAGCATAGACTTTCAAAATATTGATGCAGAGGAATTATTTTCACAATTTTGAATGAATTCTATAAAAATTTTTAATATCGCAGCAGTGTAAAATTGGAATTGTGCAAATGATTATTGATAATTTTAATGCGGTTTGCAAAAAGGTAGATCAGGATGTCGCGTAAAAATCTTGATGATCACTGATAATTTTAGTATAGGCCGATTTTTCAAAATCTATACGTACTATACGGATCAGCAAATTTATAAAACCTAACTATAATATCTTGTCCGTATAGCATAGATTTGAAATTGGCCTATATTAGGGGTTTCAGAATTAACTTTTTTTCAAATAAGTGAGAGTTTAAAAGGTCCTATTTGAATTCCGAATCAGAAAATTAAATAGGCATAGCCGGTGATAATTTTAACTTTTTTTTGATAAACATTCACCTGTAAACGATTATGTAAATAAGTACATAATTTAAGAAAAGTAGAATTTGTACGTTGCTTATTTTGAAATAAATACGGCACTTATTTTATCTGAAATCGGACACCCAATCATTAATTCTGAAACTCCCTTTTATACTGATTTTCTCACCTATACTACAATATGTTGATCTGCTCACCTATGCCATACTGATCTGCGGAACTACAATTTTTATTTTTGTGGTTTGCAAAAAGGTGACCTCTGTAGATCATGATATTATGTAAAATCACGAGAAATCAGTCGATTTTAGATTCTTTGAGAACTTGAAAGATTTTGAATAAATATAGATGTTATTAGTTGAAATTATGATCAATAGGGAATTAAAATTTTTCCGTTATCTATTAAGAAATCACAGGTCACACCTTTCTGCAAACTGTCATGAAAAAACGGTTGTGTAAATAATTCTCCTGCATCACTATTCCAAGTACTTATGTACAACTTACTAATAAGAATTTCGAAGCATAGGAAAATGCGAAAGAAAAGGAGTCTAAATATAGAAACATTGACATAAAAAATGTCGATGAAGAATTTTACTTATAATCGCCTAAGCTTAATCTCAATTATGACGTCTTTAAATTCTTATTAACATAAATAATTATCGAGAAATTTATATCAAGATAGTTATTATGATTATTACTGTATTGTTTCTAAAATTTCCCTAAATAAATTTGGAGAATAAATAATCTTGCATTGAATTTGTGCCAGAGAAATTCTGCATTTAGGAATTTATTATTTAATTAGATTTGGATTACTATTTTAAATGCTTTAAAATTTGCTTAATTATCATAATTAATCGGAAAATTTGACAAAGTTAAGTCGAAAGACGTAAACAATCATGGATTGTTAAAAAGAACCAATATATATGTTATGTTTGCAGTAAATATCATGAGCGATTGCATATAATATTTGCGAGAAATAACAAGCATGGGAGTTACTTAGAAAATAGTTCCCCTTAAAAATAGTGTCCCAAAATGACGCGCACCATATTAGGGCATTAACATTTTTTTTAGCATTTCTTAACCTTATACAGCAGTGTTGGTAATTTTATCGGCAAACCCAAATTGTCGACAATAAAAAAAAAAATTTCAAATTTTCTAAGCACAATGTCTTTCACATTAACATTTAAGGTCTAATGAGATCGTAAGCCAGAAAGCAAATTTTTGTTAAAAGCGATTTTTTAATTATAAATTTCTAAGCTATTCGAAGTGGATTAATGAAAAATATTTCTTTAAGTAAGTATCTTGTATGGGTTGGGTAAGTTATTTTATTGTAAATCATAACGATAATAATTTTAGGTGTAATAATTATGATATAAAAATTTATATAACAACACATATGTTGTACATATGTACGGCGATACATATAGAATAGATATAAGTATGAATTACAGTATTAATATAAATAAAGTGTGTATGTAATACTTTGTTGAAATCAATAATTTAAGAAACATATTCCAGATGTATGAAAGAATCTTTCTGATAATCATTACTTTGCTTGGCTATCTACTCTTCCGATCATTTCCCAACATCACTAGCAAACTGACTTAAGTTAGGTAACTAATATAATTATATATAATAAGAATATCTGGCGCAAAACATATATAATTATTATAAAAAAAGTCCCATTTTTTAGTCAGTAATTAAAAGAATGGTGAAACTTTTGATTTTAATAATAATTTTGTTCGTTAATATTATTTTAGTTGGTTCTGAAGATACAAATTCTATTTATAATTCCAATGATCCAGAAGTTATAAGTCCATCTAAAGAAGGAGTTGAACATATTTTTGATTTAATGATTGTTATCATTCTTTATATGATAACTGAAAAAATCCCATTAGGAATCGCAGCTGCATTATTAAATTTCTTATTTCAAGTTTTCGTGTGTACAATGTCTTATTTTTTTATTATAAGAGCATATAATACGACAAACGACTATTTTTTTATTCAATATCTTATTACATATTCAGTTTTTACATTATTTGTTATTCCTAGCAGTATTTATTTTTTGTACCGTGCAATAATTACAATTAAACATTTACATTACTATAAAACTAAAATTCCAATCGCTGAGCAAACCGAGCAAACCAGTGAAGAATCCAAACATAAGAAGAAATTGAAAAAAGACCAACTGAAACATATGTATTATTCTTTTAGCATCCAAATCACTATATATATTACTTTATTTATTGCACACTTAACCTTTTTTATTATAGCTTTTAATCGCCATTATGTTTTTCATTTAGCCTATTGGGTTATTTTGCTTCCCTCACTTATTTTTATAGTATTTACAATAATTGAAGTAATTTGTGCTGCAATTTTTGAGATCGATGAAATAACAGAACTAAAAGATTTAGAAGAACGTGTCAAAAAATTAGAAGAATCTAAAGAATCTAAAAAATCTAAACCTAACTATGGACCTTGCATGAACGTTATTGTAGATTTTCATGATAGAATTAAAAATAGAATAATCATGGGTATGTTAAATTAGCCTATTTGATAATTTATTTGAATTATAATTTATTTTTTATTTACATATTTTTCTATATATATATTTAATAGTAAAAGTACTTGGAATATGTTCACATTTTTTATTTTGTACAGTTGTTGCTCCCGATTCATTATGGATAAAAATTTATCTTTCATGTGTAGCTATCTATGTCACATTAACTGAAAAGTTAGAAGAAAAAATGATTATCTTATTAAGAGATGATTAATCTTATCTTTATATTTGAAGTTGTATTTTATTTATTTATTTATTTTATATAGATATTATAAATTTTCCGTTCATTGATTCTAGATGCGTTAATCATTCATTTGATTATCAATTTTAATAATAAAGCAAAAAATATATAAATATCGATATTATTAGTAAATTGAAAATGTGTGCAGGTTGCGATCCGGATGATCACATGATGGTCCGGAATGAATGTCCGGACAATTTTTCAATTTCATACAAAATGATATTCAATTTCTACAAAATGATATTCAATTTCTACAAAATGATATTCAATTTCATACAAAATGATATTCAATTTCATACAAAATGATATTAAATTCATACAAAATAAGATTCAAATTTGTACAAAATGACAACTAAAATAAGGTTATTAAATCGTGATATCTCATGATCTAATTATCCAATTTAGATGATTTTGATACCATTAGAATCCTGTCGATGGGGCGATTTGAATGGATCAAAATCATTAGCAGTTTACGAGATATCATGATTTAGTAAACCTTATTTTAGTTGTTATTTTGATCAGATTTGAATGTTATTTTGTATGAATTTAAATATCATTTTGTATGAAATTGAATGCCATTTTGTAGTCCTTTTGTACGAAGTTGAATGTCATTTTGTACGAAATTAAACGTCCTTTTGTACGAAATTGGTGTCAAATGGGGTATTGTCAATTTTGTTTGCATGTGTTAATGTTCTTTGATAAATTATACTTTTTTGGAAGTTTTTCTTTTTTACGTACTTTAATTATAGTTCGGTTGATATCTTCTTGAGAAATTACGGTTTTTTCATTGGATTGATGCTGGTAGTACTCTAATTTTTGCTCCACTTCATATTTATTCATTTTTTTACGATAAAATTTCGTTGATAGAGATAAGCAGCCAGTTTGCCCGATGATAAAGATCTAGTTTTTTCATGTTCTTTCTTTCGCATAATGATCTTTGATATTTCCTTAAATTCGCTTAGCCAATTAAGGCATCTTCTAGCTGATAAAATCTATGTATAAATCCACATTAATTTGTCCAATATTTATTTTTCGGATTTAACCATTGGCTCAAGTTAAATATAATTTTTATTTTAAAAGAATAATACCACTACGATCACGTTGAATGTGTAACATGAAATGTAGAGGGAGGGTTTCTGTTCAACTTTTATGATGTTCGCTATGTTGATTTTTGCAAAATTCTTTTTTGCTGTAATTATAGCAATAATATCGACACAGTATCATGTGTCTATACGCAATTCAAGTCATGCTGGTGTAAGAATACAGTACGTAAAAATTACAGTACGTCAAAAATACAGCATGCTGTAATTGTGTGAAGCTACTAGTACAAAAGAATTACGCACATTGATATATTATGAGTCGATCGAGATGAAATTCGAGTGATCGACGCTCATATAAGATTTCGATTTTCATAGTAAATTGCAACGGTTGGCCATCTTCAATCACTATTTGCAGGGGTTCCTAAAAGGAAACTGTATTCTGAACAATGCGAAATGATTCGGCAAAATAAGTACTTTATTTTTTTTTATGTTTAAAGTGAGAAAAATAATAAACTTCAAAAGAATCTTGTACTTAAAGATGGCATTTTGTTTCATAATCTATAGTAGGTAAAGTTCTAATAACGAACTAAGTTACTGGTAAGCTTTTATTTCTGCACTAAGTCGAAAGCTTTAAACCAGTTAAAAAGTTAAACTTACAAGAATATTAACGTTAAAGACTATACCTATCTTTAGTTTATATTGGAAAGAAGGTTATAATCGTGAGTAATCTTTTGTTCAGGTTATTTTATATTAATGTACAAATCTTATATGCCTGTTAATTTACATTTAACCCTTCATAGGGTGTGTTATCAAGAAAAAGTACACTTGTAGAATGCATACTTATAGTGTTTTAGCCTTAATCAAATAATGTTTATAAATTACATTAGACTGATCAAATAGTATATGTTTATAAAAGAAAGCAAGAGATCATAAAATTGGGGCTTAGCCAAATAAAATCATAGAATATATCAAATCTACCAATATCACTTCACTGAATACTTTTTGTCGCTTATGAGTTATAAGTTAAAACTATAACAGTCAAATGTGTTTTTTAATTAATAATTTGGAATTTATTTAATAATTATGCTTATAAGAAATAAAGGTTAATTGTATTTATGAGCATTTGAAGTTTTTTTATTTATTTTTTTAAATTAAATAAAATTAATTTATTATTATTAATTTATAACACGCCTAAACATAAAAATTTACCTACATCATAATTGCAAATAGGTGGTGGCCCATTTTAACCCACTTTTTAATCTTAAATTGAATTATCTATTCTTCACCATTATACAATCACTTAATAACCTAGCTACACTTTACTGAACATCCCAACTCAGCATCATGAAAATTTTACTCTTCATTATGTTTAAATCCACACCCCACCTTCTAAATTCAATCTCCTTTATCAATGGTTTACATCACACAGTCCTAAAAAAAATAAAAAAATTTATTATTCTAATATTTAATAAATAAAATTCCTAAAATTCCTACATAAAACTTTAAAAATTATATAATATAAAAGTTAAACAAGCCAAAACTTATACTGTAGCTTAGCTCTGTCTAATCTATTTTCTAAATCCAAGCATTGATATATATAATACACTTTACTGTATGAGTGAATATATAATGCTAAAACGAATATAGAATTATATTATAGCTAAAATAAAAAATCAAAAAAATCTTAAAAACTATAAAATTTATATATAAAGTTTATAAACTAAAAACATTTAATAAACAAAATAACTTTTCTTGAAGGTATTTACTATAAGTGCATTATATTTTTGTGCTGAAAAAAGATAAAGATCTAATTAACAAAATTTGAATCTAAATAATATAAAATAGTTTTTCTTGATTTTCTTCAAACTTTTATAATATACCACTCATTCAAAGATGCATTTTGCTGAAAATTCTTGCTTGTGCATATCTAATGAGCTATTTTTTACATCAAGATCTTGAAAACTCCAAAAGAATCATGCAAGAGAAGGCAAAATAATTGCCCATCTTTGAAGAGGTTGCACATTACCAAGTGAAGTAAATTTTTCATATTATTTATGCTATTAAATTCATTGAAGCCCTGGAAACTTATTTGTCTAAAAAATGTTAAGACTTAGGAAAAAAATTTAAAAACATGATTTTGTCGATTTGTGTAATTTATGAAAATTATATAATAAAAATTAGGTATAACATCTTGATTGACTGTTATGGGAATAGTTACATTTGGTAATGCACCATGGTGTGAAAAAAATTTTTTACAACAATTCATAATAGAAATCATAAATTTCAATACAAATTAATTCAGTCTTAACCATATACTGCAATAGCAAGAAAGTTCTGTAAGTGAATTTTTTATAGTAATCTATATCTATATCTATAACTATATACTAAAAATATTTGTGTGTAATGATAATATTTAGACTACTAATATAAATAATTTTATTAAATTGTGTAACATTAAATCTGTTATTTTTATTTGTCAATAAATTCTTTAAATTTATACAAGTTATTAAGTAAAGATATCTTCAAGATAGGGTTGTGTTAACTTACCCGACAATGTAACTTACATCATAAGTTACATGCCACTTGTAAGTTACAAATATAAGATACTAAAGCCAGCCAGATAATGCATGTGATCCTGCCAGCATTAACATATAAATCGAAAAATCTACTTTTTTTTTTATAAAGTATAGCGAATTAGGCATTACAAAACTTTTTTACAGTAAGATACGTTTATTATGTAAGAGCTATAATCTTTATTTGTCTATGCATCAATGAACTAGGATTAGACGTAGATAAGAGCTATTTTGAAATATTGCAGTTGTAAAAAAAATTTTTAAAAACAATTTTGCACTAGAACCTTCCATTTCAGCTTATTTTTTGTAATGAATGAACACCATATATTTGTCCTTTTCAACACCAGTTCTACTTTGATAACAGTATCCAACTATGTATGAGTAAACCATTAATGCTTTCCATCTAAATAATCTGTGATATCTGTTTAAGATATTAGTTAACTGAATAAATTAACTGAACTGAATAGAAGAATAAAAAATTTTAATTTAAATACATATATAAAGATTTACTTCATTATTACCTCAATGTTTACATTCATTTTATATTCCAAATTATATGTTCTATTGTGTTTCTAACTTTGCAAAGTTTTGATAATGACGAATGCCTTATAAAATTATTTAGCAGATTTTTGATAATGTATAAACGTTTTAAATTTTATCTTGCTTCGACTCCAATTACATTTCCATAACAACATATGTTCAATTAACTTTTCCCATCTTGAGGACCTTTGATAATAACCGAATTCCTTATAGTAACTCTAATTTCATAATAGCAATTAATAAGTTTAAGTGCAAACATTTCATCAAAATTACCCGTTCATGCAAATTGTGATAATATATGAATATCTTACCCAATATATATTTCATTAATGCTTTTCTATTTCTCATCATTGCTTATATCATTTATACTATCTATATTATCCATATTATATATATCGCTCATATTGTCAATACTTACATCGTCAATTTCGTCGGCATAATCCATACTATCTATATATAACGGACTATCAGATAAAGAATCATCTATATTATTTTCCTCAACTGAGTTGGTTTCATTTAATTTTAAATTAACTACGTTGTCTTCAATTAAATTGCTACTATTTCTTAATTCTTTAACTGAAAGTGACCACTTTAAAGAATGTAAAATTTGAAGATTCCAGTAAATATATACTATTTTTTCTACACGTGGATTATGTAAGCGATTACGTAATTTTGAGTGGACAAAATTAAATGATGACCAGTTTCGTTCAGAGGAAGCCGATGTTGCTAGTATTGAAAGCAATTTTAATGCTATACTACTTAACCAAATTCCACTAATTATATGGTTTTTCTTTTATTGAACCCCATAAATAATTAGCTGAAAATCCACCAGTTTTTCCTACATATTCTGAAAGTTCTTCTAAAACTTGGTCTTTATTTTCTGGTCCAGCAAGACGTATAAGCTCTCTTTCAATTGGCGCATCCTATTTGTTTGGATCTAAAATTTCTCCGCAATATCGTGGATCTAATTTATATGCAGTCATTGTTGCTGGATTGTATAAAAAATCATTCCAACATTGCTCTACTAATCTTATACTTTCTGTGATTACTGTAGTTGAAACATAATCATTATTACATATTGTTGTTTCTAGTTGACGTAACTTAAGAAAAGCTGCAGATAAAAGTGGCACGTCTCCTTCTAATTCGTGAATAAATTTGACAAAAGGTTCTAAAAAGTTATGAAGATGCTTAAAATTTTGCCAAAAAAGATCATTCATTAAATGAATTTTGATATTAGGACTAATTCCTATACTTTCTTCTATTAATAATAAACAAATTGCATTTTTTGTTTGTAACAAATGATCCATGCAATAAAATGCAGATCCCCAACGTGTATCTACTATTTGTACTAAAGAAATTATATGTCCATATTTTTCTATTTGAAGACGACGAAGTGCAGCTAGTGGTATATTATGATTTCTAAAATAATTAATAATTTCTTTGCTAGTTTCTAATATGTTTTTTGGCCAATCTAATTTTAGAATGTCTTTGATCCAAAGATTAATTCTATGTGCCCAACATCCTAAAAATACTTTTGTTGAGTATTTATTTTTAAGGATACGCCAAGCAGCTTTCATATTAGATGCATTATCAGTAATAACAGCCACAAACTTGTCGACACCAAGCTCTTGTATAACTTTGTCTATTCCTTCTGCAATATTTTGTGCAGTATGTTGATCTTCTTTTGTATATACTGATTTGTAAAAAAGTGGTTTGGGAGTTGTAATCATAAAATTAATGATAGAATCTTTACGAATATTTGACCAACCATCCGTTACAAGACACAAAAATTGTGTTTCATTAAGTAAGTAATTAATAACAGTGTTTAAACCAGAATACTCTTTAGTAAGAAGAGAGTTTGAAAGAAAATAACGTGTAGGCAATTTAAAGTATGGTAATGCCTTTAAAAAAAAAGCTTTTATATCATCATTTTCTAAAATATTAAATGAAATACCAGCAGAATAAAACCCATGTGCTAACAAACTTTCTAGTTCTTTTTGATCCGCATTTGTAAACTTGTATAATAAATTTCTCATTTTTGTTTGTTGTTTATAATTAATAGTTCTTGTATTATTGTCGTCATTATGTACAAAACTTGATGTAAAACTTGATATATTACTATTGCCAGAATTTTTTAATTTGCAATAGTTGTAATATTCTTGCATTCGTGTTTCATTTTTGACCTATAATTTATTACAAGTTTTACATTTCATCTGTTCTTGTCCTTTTTATTTATTATTTTTTCAAATCCGTCCCAAAAAGTTCCTTTATTATGAGGCATATTAAATTGATAAATGATACAATTTTTTCGCGATTTTTTTTTTTTATCTTACATTATATAACTTACCTTACATGTAACTTATATTTTAAAAATAACTTACGGTAAATTATACAACCCTACTTCAAGGCTTAAATAAAGTTGTAGAGGAGATAATTCTGAGTCAAATAGTGGTTAGATCATCAAAATCGGCCCAGTGGTTCTTGAGATATCTTGGGTTAAAGGCGCGAATATAAGGATCGGCAAAGTCATTGTTACACAAAGTTGATTTTGTTAATCGTTATATTTAGATCTTTAATCCTCCATATTTCAATAACTACTGGCCCAATTTTGATAATCTAACCACCATTTGACTCAGAATTATCCTCTCTATAACTTTATTTAGAGCTTGAAGATATCTTTATTTAATAACTTCTCGCATAAACTTAAAGAAACTATAATTGAACCTACTTTGAGTTTAATGTAATCTACTTTGAGATCAAAATATACAAAAAGTAGTTTTTTGTAATTATCTTGACAACTAGCAGTCCAATCTGAATGGATTTTTTTTAAAATAAAAGCTCTCAGTGAAGCACATCCAATAAAAAAAAGTTTATTTAATTCTAATTACTAGATTCTAAAATATTTAAAAAACTATAAATTTTTGATTTTAATAAATTAAATTAAAATTAAGCAAAACTAAATTATAATCTATATTAGAGATAAAATTATTTAAATTAATTGCTTTAGATTTAAATTTTTATTTTATTTTATATTAAATCTTTTCTATACATCGTACGGGTTTATAGCTTAATAATTATAAAAGTTATATTTATTTTATTTTAAGAATTAATTGATTTGTAACTGTAGATTACTGTAACCATAATTAAGTTAGGTATAACATAATTATCAAAATAAGTTTTTTTATAAATAAAACTTTGCAATTAAAGTTAGAATTAGGGTGAGGCTAAAAATAGAAAAAGCACAGTTTATACCAAAATTTAGCAAGAAATTTTTTTTGTTAGACTATAAAAGATTGTTTTATAGTCAAAATTTCGAGTTATTAATGATTTTTTAAAAAATCAATTTTTGTTTTGATTTCACGTTACACCTGATCTTAAAATTTGATTGGCTTTATTGGATGTGATTACAGTAACTGTGGTTACAAATTTATTAACTCTTATTTTAAAATTATATTTAAAAATTTTATAAATTTATTCCTATATATTATTGTACGGGTTTACAACTAGTAGTGTTATATTAGTATTATATTAGTACTTTAAAATTTTATTACTTATCTACGTGTAATTACTAAGTATAGTACAAATATTATTTAACCAATAGAATCCTTAATATTAGTTTTATTAGTATAGTTTTTATAGCTTTCTATTTAAACCAATAGTTAATAAGTAATTAAGTCTCGTTGGCTAGTCTCTTTGGCTAGTCTCTTTGGCTAGTCTGTTTTGTTAGTTAGTCTCTTTGATTAGTCTTATTGACTAGTATCTTTGACAAGTCTCTTTAACAAGTCTCTTTGATACAATAGTACAATAATACAAACTATAATTAGTAATTATTTAAGATTGTAAAAGATATATAAACTTAGCTTTTTTACTTAAGGCTTGGGTAGACTTGGTCTCTTGTACTTTCTTCTTTTTATTTAATAAACTAATATTATCTTGTGAAATACTTAATTTATACACATTTTATATTTTGTTATCTTTTTTTATAATGGAATTATTGTCTTTTATTGTCCTTTTATTTTTAGTTTCTTTATATTTTCTTTAGTTATTTCTATTAGTTTATATATACACACTTGATATATTTTTTACTTTATTTTAGTTTTAGCTCTTTTAGTTTTATCTTAGTTCCTTTTAGTGTTTATTTTATGTTATTCATATTTCTTACCCTTTTGACACTAAGTCAAGTAATATAGTTTACTACCACCAAAGTCTATTATATTACAATAGTTAATAAAGTATTTAAGTACATACTAATATATCTTTCACTTCAAAAAATAAATACTCATATTAGTCTATAAAATTTAACTTTTTATACTACAATTAATCAGATTATGCCTGATTTGCTAGACCACTTTCAAAATTCTATTATGAATCAAGAAATCTATTTTGGTATAGTTTTATATAAAATTTTTATTTAATACTACTATGTAATATTGTCAATTTTATTTAATAAAAATAAATTGTATACTTTAATAATAAATAAAATATATTGTTATTTTTAATGTATTGTTATTTTATTTTTAAAAATGTATTGTTAATATTCTCTTATTATCACAAACTATTAACCTATATTCATAGTCTTTATTGTTATTTATATTCAACATCTAATATAAATACTTTACTAATAGTATATATAAAAAATTCGATTGTAACTTTTTAATAATTTGCAAAATTCTATAACCCAAATATTATTTTTTATATATTGTGCAATTGCCAACAATTATTTCTAGCTCTTGGCCAATATTTAGATTCAGATTTATTGAATTCAAAGCAAATACATTGAATAAACCAACTTTATCTTATTATATTTGTGCTTTGCTTCTGTTTAGATTATTTATATTTTGTCATATCTATTCTAATGTATTCAAATGCAGCCTAGATCATAATTATGCTCTCATGTTTAAAGTAAAATAGTGTCAAAAAAAATTAAAAGAATAGCATATTTAATAAAACAAATTTTTTTTTTTTTTATAATTCAGCAATCTTGCCTCTACTTTATTAAACTTGAAAATATCATACTGAGTAATATTACAAATTTTCAAAGAATGAGTCTCTAAAAGTCAAGTTTTTATGATGTCTAAATTACAAGTATTAGCTCACCTGGCTCTTTGTGACCGAAGTCCAAATTACCCATATGCGATCTGCTATAGGCAGAATTCTTCTCCGTAATATTCACTTCTGCACTTGAAGAAAAATAAAACTTTACTAAAAGGTTTTTACTGGCCTATCAAGACTATCTATTTCTTCTTTAAAACTTTTTCTACCAAAATCTAGACAGAATAGTTAATCTCTTACTTTTCTATAAGAAAAAAAAATATATGCCATATTTACAAAAGAAAAAAACTATATCTAGAAAAAGAAAGAGAAAAACAGAAAAAAGCAAAAAAAAAGAATAGGATAGTTCTGATAAATGCACCCAAAGAAAGAAAAAGAAAAAGAAAATACACTATTATAACTTGTGCTAGATGAGTATAAAAATTATATAACAAATGCAATATTTGTATATCTTTGTTATAAAGCTTTACTTTAATGTTTGATTTTTCTTTCCAACCTTCCGATTAACTCTGAATAACTACATTGTGTCTGTCTTAATTCATATCTCAAGTCAGGTGCTGCTGCTATCTATAGACCCATATCTCAAGCTACCTGCTGCTATTATTAGGGATTTCATGCCAGGAGCCCGATTCTAATGCGCTGTATTTGTAAAACATGTAGTTGCAATTTATTAGGTTGTTTAAATTTAGAAAGTAAACAATGTCGATCTTTTGGAGGGGGTAAGCCAAATCCTTTACTTTTTCAAAAAAAAATTTGGAAAACTGATAGAAAAGCAAAAGTGAGTAAAAAGAGAAACTACTTATCCAAGTAAAAGAGTGCAGCTTGGAAAAACTAAAATTTTGTTGTATCCCCTGTATTTTTTTGTTAACAGTCGAGTAGTTTTGTCGACGAAGTTGGGCTTTGTCTACATTTTACCAAGATTTTATATACAAGGGCGCCACCTTCGGGTTTATTGTTATCTTGCTAGTTAACTTGTATAATAACGCTCCTGGCTTGCATGCCAAACATCTTTTAGAGGAGTCCCACAGAGTAAATGTTGACCTCTAGACAAACCACTACATCAACCACGACTCTCCAACAAAAATTTGTTTTTCAGTTAGTGGAAATTTTTGGTTTAAGTAATTGTCAAAAAGAGTGTATGATAAAACAAATAAATATTTAAAAATTATGAAATAAATTAAATAAATAGTTCCAAAGTAATTAGATCTTTAATTCTCAAATTATATTTAAATTGTTGTTGCTAATTGTATACCCAAATATTAATATTCTTTCACTTTACTTCAGATATTTGAGAAAGGACATGCCTTAATTTATAATTGGCTGCACAATTAAATTAAAAGATAAAGGTTCCTAATAGATACTAAAAAAAAAAAGCTCAATATAGTCCTCTTTTCGATAACCTAGAGCAATAACAAGTTCTAAAATAATTAACATATATAATCAATTATTTTAGATCTTGTTATTGTTCTGGAGAGTTATCAAGAAAACCATCTGGGAGAGGCTCTTTTCTGTCAGTGCTCTAATAGTTTTATACAATTTTTAAAAGTTTTTATTGTTAAATAATAAAAATTCTTGAATTGTATAAGAGAATTAATACTTATTATATAAATCTAGTCTCTTTCATTTGACAATTACAAATTCTAATATAATCAAAAAATATAATTAATAAAATTGATTATATCAGGATTTTGCAATTGTTAAATGAGAGACTATATTTACATAATAAATATTAGTTCTCTAAGTTTGAATACTTTATTTTGAAAATTAGAGACTTTTTATTTAGATTCTTATTATATTATAAATAAAAAATATAATATTTAATAAGATATCTATTTGTATAAATATAAGCAACTTTGCTATGCAAAATTTGTTTAAAAGCCAAGATTAATATTATATTAAGTTTCAATACTTATAAACTTAGCTTAAAATAAAAAAGTACAATAAATATAAACTTAAATGTCAGGATAGCCAATTTATTTAAAAG